TTAGTGTCACTGCATATATTTTGGGTTTTGTTTTTAAATTTCATCCACTGAATATTATTTATAATGAATACTGCCCAAGTCCTCTTTTCTGGTCATGGATGCACTCCTAAAGATTACAACAAACAGTTAAAGGACAGATGATAGGGCAAGAAGGCCTGTTTGGTCAGTGGTGTGCAAAGATTTTGGTCCTTGGGACAGAGACTCTCAGTTGAACACTAGAGAAAAGTCACAGGGTCATAGATTTAGAGCAGAAAGAGGCCCTAGAGCTGTTGAATCTAACCCCCTTCATTTCATAGATATGGAAACTCAGGCACGTGCAAAGTGACTTGCTCCAGGTCACACAGAGCTGGTAGGTATCTGCAATTGGATTTGAACCCAGGGCTTCTGACTACAACTCTAGTGCCCTATCCATTCCAATACACTGGCTCTCTGGAAAGAGCTATGAATTTGAACTACAGTGCCCATGCCTAGAAAACACTCAGGCACCCAAAGAGTTCTGAAGAGGAATCTTGGTCATATTGCTTGGAAGAGGATCAGAGACAAGTGCGCAGGTAAATGCTGGGAGCAGGGGCTGCCAGGGAAGAGAGAGTCATGAGGAGGATAGAGTGGGATTCTTGGGTGATTCCAGGAGTTAGTGACGCAGGGATGGCTGGGTGGTGGGAGCATGCTGTTTGGCAAGGAGCTACTGAATAGAGCTAGGAGTTGTGGGAGCCATGGTCATTTGGTGGTACCGTGGAGAGTGCTATAGAGCATCTGTACTAGGTGCATAGACCATAAAGCTGGATAGAGTGAAGGAACCCACAAGGGTGGGGAGCAGGTGAATGGAGAAATGCTGAAACTGCCATTAAACAAGGCCCTCCACTCATGCTCCTGGAACTTCCCCTATTGGTGTTGTGAGTTTCCATTGCCTGACCTTCTTAAGGTGTTGCAGAGGGAGGGAGAGGGCAGGGAACAAAGGGCCCACAACTGAAGGTGGGATATAACTGATTCCTTGTTACCTGAGCTTAGATCTGAGCAGGCCCCTCTTTGCCTTTTACAGACCTTTTAATAAGCCTGTGCTAGATTAATATCTCGGCAGCCTTGGTTGCTTGTAGGGTAGCTAAATGTCCCCTTGGGAAGATCAAGAACTTAGTTGAATTCATATTTTCCAAAGAAGCTTCTGGGAAAGGGATAAAACAGAGCCTGATCTATGAGAACTCAGAGTTTTGGTCATGGGCCCTGGGATATAATGACAAACAATGAGAACAAATAATACCCGTCAGCCAACTTTCAAAAGTACAGAGATAAACATGTTTCATGGATTTATTTTTTCATTTTTATTGCATTTCTGTGTTTTCACAGTGAGCAGAGGTGGTAGTTAGCAAAGACATGGTGGGAAATAGGTGAGAGCAAAAGAAAAAATCATATTGTCTCAATTTCCTTACCTATAAAATAGAGATACCTAGTTGTTGTGAAGATCTAGTAAAAAAAGCAATAGATAAAAAATTTTTAACCTAAAAGGTATTAAAAGTCAACTATGTTATGCAGTATGGCATAGTGGTTTGAGAGCAGGCCTTGGAATTAGAAAGACCTAGATTCAAATTTAACCACCAACCATACTGGCCATATAACTCTGGTCAGGTCACTCAACCTCTCAGTGTCCCAGGCAACTTTCCAAGACTGTAAGTTGCACAGAAGGATGATCTCCATTGGAAGAAGGTAAGACTACGCTAGTGAAATAATCCATACATCTGATTAAAAAAAAGAGATATTATTTAAGAAAATTTATTCTAGTGATATATCCCTTCCCAATGACTGGGAGTAGGGAATATGTTGATATTTTTATATTTCAGTGAATACTTATTTGTCATTCCATTCACACTATATAATTTGAGGGATTTGTCATCAAAGGGAAGAAGGGTCCAATTGAGTTTAATGGTCCATCATGCCCAGCTGACGACTAGGAACAGTCTCTATTGTCCATCAGGTATAGACATCTGATGGCTTAGTTTATAGTTTATAGCCAATGTTGGGAAACTATAAGGGCTGGTCCACCTACAATCTTCTCTTCTTTGGTCTTTGAGGTCATGGTAAGTTAGGACAATGGTGGCAGTCTAAAACCTGAAAGGACATCTATGAGTGGAGACCAGGGCTGGTAGAAAAAATTTGGGAGGTTTACAAGATGGGGGATGTCCCTTGTATGCATAGCATCCAACTCTAGTGGGAGATTTTTCCCCATCTCTATGGAAAGTTATTCTTGACTCTTCTGACCTTTCTTCTTTTTTCTTTTTTCAGACATCTAACCCTTTCTGATGTTCTTACATCCCCCCTTCACTCACACTTCCAACTTTTCTATGTTCTTATTGAATGTTCAAAGAAACCCTACTGGCTATTCCTAGCAAAGCGTACATTGAATCCACCCATGCAAGTCCTGAATGGTCACTGCAGGCTTGTGGCTGTGATGGAGGAGACCAGACACTTCACTGAATTCTGCCCCTCTGTCTGATCTGCCTGCCGATCTGACTGCTTATCTGCTTGCCTATCTGCCTGTCTATCCATTTATCCATCTATCTACTTGTCTGTATGTCAGGTATTGGAGTTTTCTTAGGAATTTAGCTTTTTGCCTTTTATTTTATTCTCTACTTGTCTCCAGTGCAATCTCCAGTCCCCTTTGAGATCAGGAGCTATGCCTTCTACTCCATGATGAACAGTCTCATACCTAATCATAGCTTACATATCCCAATGAGTCTGAACCTAGGTATGTCATCATCCAAACCCATTACCCATCCTCTACCCTTCACTTCCTTATCTCTATCCTTTTCAACCCTCCTACCCCAAAGTTCCAACCATACCATCTTCGCCTTCCACCGTTGCCCTCTAGAATGCCTGTTCCATATGCAACAAACTTCCCTTCATCCTAAATCTTTTCCTCTCCCATTCCTTTCATCTTTTTGCTTTCACAGAAACCTGGCTCCCCCTGATGACACAGTCTTGTTGGCCATCTTTTCAAGTAGTAGCAGAACCTTTATTCACTGCTAAAGGTGATGAAATTGGAATATTCTTTGCTCTCTCATTGACACTTCTAGGTTCTCTTCCTACCTTCATCACTCAGTAAGTAACCTCTCCTTTGAGTTTCATACTATTCAACTCTACTATCGAAATCTTGGTAGCAGTTGTCCACAGTATTCCAGGTCACTGCCCTTCCTTCTTCAATGAATTTGGCATATGACTCACAATTTTTTTCTCCTCTCCAACTCATGTGCTTATACTAGAAGAATTCAACATACATATTGATTGTCCCTCAAATACCTTAACCACTCAGTTCCTCAACTTACTCGTCTTCCATGACCTACTTACTCCTCCAGCCTACCTTAACTACACCCAAAGATGGTGATAACTTTGATCTTGTCATTACCCACAAGTGTATCACTTCTATGTTAAAGAATTTCAAAATCCCAGTTAAGGAACTGGTCAAAATCTATTGGTTCTCCTTCTCTCTTTCTGCCTTACCTTACCTAATTTTATTCCTTGACCACACTATTACCTCCAATCCCCTCAGCCCTCAATTCTCTCTCAGGCCATCTCCCCTGCACTAGCTACTCTCTTCCTCTTTTTCCCATCTTGACTTCTTGGTGAATCAATTCAACTCTACACTATCCTCTTCTCTTGAGATTTATCATTTTCATTGACTGTGCCTTGCCCAGACCTCAGTCTTTGATCACTCCCAACATCCACCATCTTTACTCCTGGCACAGGTGCTGCTGAGTAAAGATAGAGAAAATCGCATAACTGTTCTGAATGAGTCTACTACAAATTTATGTTACACAACTTTCACTGGGTTCCCACTGCTACTAGACTACTATAGTAGGATTCTACAATAGTTCTCCACATCAATTCATTATCCTATTCTCCACAATGTCTCTTTAAAATCTTTTCATCCCTCTTCAAACCTCCCAAGGCTCCCCTTCCACTCCCCCTCCCCGCCACAATTGCTCTTTCTCAGTCTCATTCTGATCATGGCCTCTGACTGTAGATGTCTCACAGGGTTCTAAGCGGGGTCCTCTTCTCTTCTCCCTTTATACTACTCATCAGCTTCCATGAATTTAATTACCATCTCTGATAGTAATAATAATAATAGTAATAACACCCCCCCACATATATACGTATATCTATCTTATTATATGCCAAACACTGTACTAAGCACTTATACAGTAATGATAATTATTTTTATATTATTAATCAAAATATTATATTATTATTTTATAATTATAATATTATAATTATATACAATATATTACATCATTATATAATATCTATATTATATTACATAATTGTATATTATATAATTATTTTTTCATTTGATTCTCACAATAACTGGGAGGTAGGAGGTATTATTCTACATAAATACATATTCTGCATAAAAGAAAAACTGCCCTTTTTCATTGCTATCAATTAGCAGAGTGTCTGGCACAAAGTAATAAATGTTTATTGACTGACTAACTCATCAATTGAAGCTGTACACAAGACTTGTGTTGAAATAATTTGGGAAGGTGGGAATAAGGAGACAGCTACTTTAAGCACAAAGCTCCACAACTGGATCTGTCTGTGAATAGTGGGCATGAGTAATAGGAAGGGCAGTGGGAAATTGCATAAAGGAAAGTTATAATAAAGTTTACCTTAAATAGTTCTCCCCTTTTGATTTCCTAGGTAGTGCATCTAAGGGTACCCACCTTTTCTCTGTTGCTGTGGTAGTGGTGGTTGTTTAGTGGGGTTTGACTTTTTGTGACCCCAGTTGGAGTTTTCTTGGCAAAGATATTGGAATGGTTTTCCATTTCCTTCTCCAGCCCATTTTACAGAGGAGTAAATTGAGGCAAATAGGGTTAAGTGACTTGCCCAGGGTCACATATCTAGTATGTGTCTGAGGCCAGATCTGAACTCAGTAAAGATGAATCTTCCTGATTCTGGGCCTAGCACTCTATCCGCTCGGCCACCTAGCTTCCCACCTTCCCTCTAATACTCTATTTATTTTGAATGTTTTTATTTATGTATGTTATCTCATCCATTAGCGCTCAATTCATAGAAAGCAGCTAAGAATAAGTCACACAGATAGGATATTTCCAGAAGACTCCATTCAGATGTTGTTCTGAGGCTGGAGGCAGAAGAAAGGACTAGCAATGTTATACGCTGATCCATGGTCATCAGGAGAGTGCAGTGGTGCCTCAATTTTTCTTGATAATATCAAGGATCCAGTCTATATATCTGGATACTTTGGTGTAGAAGCCGATATCACCCTTCAGAACACACCCATCTGTCCAGGACAGGATCCCATGGAGCTGTCCTTTGCAAATGGCCACAGCAGCAGACACCTCCTGGCAGAGAGTTGGCAAACAGGGTCAGAATCCCTTCTTTCCCACCTTCCCATTCCTCCAAATCCTCCACTCTCCACTGCTAAGTGCTCATCCCCAGGGACCTGAGGGTCATCTCTGTGATTCTACAGGTTTCCTCAGCAGATGAGACTGGGAAATTAGGCCTCACCAAGGGGAAGGTAAAATCACATCCTCCTCAGACCGCTCTGCAGGCTACTTCCCTGAGTCTCCCACAGTGACTGGAATCCCTAGCCAGACATAACAGTTCAGGAACAGCCAGGAGGTGATAGGCACCACACTAGACTTTACCCACTGAATCCCAAGCTCTGACCCAGAAATTGGAGAACAGGGATATATATTTCCAAGGCCCAATCTCTTCAACTTCTTGCCTCAAAGGCAAAAACTTGGGTGAATATCAGAGGTCATGGCTCCACAGTCTCAGATCAAGTTGAAGAGAGAAAGAGAACGTGGTGAGGGGGAAAGAGATACCTGACAGAAGTTCTGCTGATATGGATACATTCCTGCACAGAACATGTTGTTCATGTTCTTTATAGTGATATTTCTTGAAGAGGCTCCCTTGCATTGAAGAGGAGGCAGCCACCGAGCCATTTGACTTATCTGGATGTCTGCATCTCTCACTGGGTATGAGAGAGAGTGGGGAGAACTTCATTTGTATTTGTTCCTTCTCTGTACCCACCCCCATCACACAGTGTAGTGAATAGCAATGTTGGATTTGGAGTCAAGGAGACCTTGGGTCAAGTCTTGCCACTGATCTTGTTAGAGGTGTGACCTTGAATACATCACTTAACCTTTCTCAGATTGTTTCTAAAATGTGGTTGGACTATATGGCCTTTAAGGTACCTTTCATCCCTAAGTCTATGATCCTGTGATCCTCTTTTTTTTCTGTCCTCTTCCCACCCATCTCTTCCCTCCCAAGATCAATGGAAGGAAGAAGGGAAGAAGAAAAGAATCAAAGATCAGAAAAAAATTGGTAGAATTAAATAAAGGAAGCTAAGTTATCCAGGCTTGGAAAATTTGGAAGCTTTTAGTGTGTGGGTGAGTGTGAACATAAATATATGTGTGAATACACACACACACATACACACACACACACACACACACACACACACCATGTATATATTTTTTTGTGTTTGAGAAAGAGGTTTCCTGGGAATAGGGGCATTCCAGTGGTGTATAGTAGGTATGATTGATGAGTACAGTTCCTATGTCTTCTATTGAATGTTCACCAGTACTCGATGGCCATCATCCCTAGCCTCAAAGCTATAGAGGTAAGGCCAATAGTTAGGGTTAGAATTCTTTCTGCCTTTTCTGATCTTGTATCATTTCATATCCCCATCTGGCAGTTGAGTACTCCCAGAAGAGGAGGGTAGAAGAACAGAAAGGCTTATTAGGTTGCTTATCTTCTGATGGGCCCCCTAGTATCTCCTTGTCCTGACCTCCCCTCTCCAGCTGCGCTTTTCTCTCCTTTGCATTTGGTCTAGCAGCAGTCCTAATATGAGTGCTCCTACAAGGTGCAGAAGGCACTGCAGCCTGGCAGGTACTCACTAGGATATTTCCAGTTCTGAATCCAGCCAGAAATAATACATATTGATCTATCTAGGTCATTGACGCCAATCGGCAGGTCCACCAGCACATGGAGGTGTTTGGACTTGGCTAGCTTGATCAACATTATGTCATGTTCAGGAGAGTCTGCCGTGAAATTTGGATGTCGGAAGATAAATTCATAGTTTAATTCCTGGTCCTGGAGCCAGCCCTTAACATTTTGGTTTGCAGTGCCTATTTTTACCTGGAGGTATCTAGAACAGGACACAAGCGATAGGAAAACTTTGTTGAATCTAGTCTCAGCTCTGCTCCTAACTCACCCAAGTTAACTTAGGCATCATTTAACCCCTCTCTCTGGAGCTCAATTTCCCGGATTGATAACATGAAGGGATTGAACTACGTATCGGAGGTTTCTTCTTGCTCTCAGATTCTATGAATCTTAAGAGTCCTTAGACATATCATTTCTCAATATTTGTCCAGCATCTTCTCTTCCTTATAGTTCCCCCTCCTTCCTGGGGAAGCCTAGGCTTTTTTCATTCATGGAGAGAATACTACCCTCAATTCTTTTTTTTTTTTGCTTTTTTTTTGGTGAGGCTATCAGGGTTAAGTGACTTGCCCAGGGTCACACAGCTAGTAACATATGGTCAAGTGTCTGAGGCCAGATTTGAACTCAGGTCCTCCTGACTTCAAGGCTGGAGCTCTATCCACTGCGCCACCTAGCTGCCTCATACCCTCAATTCTAAACCCCTCACTTTCCTCCTTCCGCCTCACCACCCCTAGCTCCATGAACTGCCTGTCCCTCTATTACCCACTTCTATCTCCTCTTCAGGGGAGACATTCTCAGAAACATCCCCTCTCCCTTACACACTCATGAACCCTGATGCCAAAAGCCTCCTCTCCTCTCCATCTTCTGGGAAATCAGTAATGAAAAGATGTAAAATCCTTTCCCCATAATTCCTCAATCCCCAGAAGTCAGTCACTCCGCTTAGGTTTGGGGGGTGGTTGAGGGTGGATTTCCAGATTGGGACTTATTCCATTTTGCTCCAGGGACCCTAGAGAAAAGAGCCAATTGAATCTCCATCACTCACGGTAGGTAGCAGTGAGCGGCTGTCACCACCCACTGCTGGTGGATCAAGGTGCCCACACAAGGCTGGTAGTCAGATTTCAGGTAGGCTAAAAACTTGGTGTCGGAATTTTCATTTCTCTTATTAGTGAACTGAGCAGCTGAGGGGTGAGGCAGAAGAGAAGAGGGACAGAGAGAGACAAAGAAAGTTTCAGCAGATTTCACTCTGTTCCCCCTGCCTGGAATGTTCTCTCTTCCTTTCATAACCTTTGAATTCCTTCCTACTCTCTAACACTTAATTCAAATGCTGCTGTTTTCATGGAGATCTTTCTGAACCCCCAAGTTGTAACATCCTTGCACTTTGAAAGGCACGTTTCCAATTCTTTAGTGAATTTATGATGTAATATTTTATATTATTTTAATCTGTGTCTGTGTCTTATCTGATAATTGGACTATAAGCTCCATTAGGGTAGGGATCCTTTCTATCTGAATGTATCTCCTTACAGTGCCTAACAGAACCTTCTGTGCACAGGATGTGCTCATTAACTGTTTACTATCCTATTTAGCCTTGGGTAAGTTCTTTAACCTCTCTGGGCCTCAGTTCCTCATATATAAAACAAGAAGGTTGAATGAATGAGTAGATGAAATGAAGAAATTGACAGCTAAAGAGACTTTAAAACCCCAGTATAATTAGTTCCTTGTACATTTCATACACCATTTATAAAAATACATGTAAATGCTTTGAAAAATAGTAAGTGCTATAGAAACTTAAGAGGTTATTCAGACATTTTCCATAACTGTTAGTCTTTCCTTAAGGATTTTCACTACCTCTCTATGTTTCAATCTCTCTCTCACCTCTCTTTCTGTCACATGACTCCATGATCATCAAAAGAGCAATCTTAGCTTCCCTTTCCTACCTTTATTCTCTCTTCTCTCTTTCTAAGGCAGATTTTTGGAAAAAAAAAACCGAACTGTATGTATGTCATGAACCTCTTTGGCAGTCTGGTGAGATCTATAGATCCTTTCTCAGAATAATATTTTTTAATGAATAAAATAGAATGCATTGGATTATAAAGGAAGCCAATTATATTGAAATCATTATTAAAATATTCCTCTCCCCAAAAAATAAGTTCATAAGCCCCTGGATAAGAATCCTTTCTTAGGCCTGTGTTAAAAACAGTTGTAGAAAATTTGCTTCTTTCTTTCTAGCCAAAGAACTCTTAGTTCCACCTCTTCTTGCCTCTTCCTTAGAGAATTTCCCATTATCCTCCCTTTGCTCTCTAGCTTTTCTTGTTGTTGTTGAATTGTTTTCAGTCATGTCTAACTCTTCATGACTCCATTTGGGGTTTTCTTGGCAACCTCTTCCTAGTGGAGTGGTTTGCCATTTCCTTCTTCAGGTCATTTGACAGATAAGGAAACCGAGACAAATAAGGTTAAGTGACTTGCCCAGAATCACACAGCTAGTATCTGATGCCAGATTTGAACTCAGGAAGATGTCTTAATGACTTCCGGGTGCAGAAATCTATCCACTGTGCCACCTATCTGTCCTCTCCCTAGCCTACCCCTTCCTTAACTACTCTTTTATTACACATCCTCTCTAATGCTCTGTCAGAGTGTCTTTGTCCAAAGGTCTTTCATTTCATTGTTCTGTGTGCTGAGGGACTGAGGTTTTCTAGGGTCAGGGGAAAGCTTGGGGGCGTAGAAGTTCCTGGGCCTGTAAAGAAATTGCCAGTTCCTGCAATTCTCAAGCCTTTGATTTCCTTTAGGCCTTTTCTTCCCCTTCCCAATCCCCTCTCATACTGCAGCTTTCCCCTTGATAACTTTCCCCATCAGGTTTCTAAGTTCACACTCACCAGCCAAAGCCAGCAAACCAAAGAGCAGGATGATCTTCATGTTGGTATCTGACACCTAGAGCTAGGTAGGAAACCTACAAAAAGAATCAGCAGGATCTAGCTAGCTAAGCAGTCAAATTCCAGACTGAAGGGTGAGTTGAAGAGACTGAAAGAAAAGAGGGTTTTGAATTAAGGGGCAATGACCCTCCCCACACCTGCGTGTCTCAGGTCCTGGTCTTGGGAGGATCGTCCCTTAGTCCCTTGGTACTAATAAAGGGACGTGAGAGAGGAGGGGAAGGTAGGCCCATGCACTCAGATCCAGGCCCCCACCCCCTCTTTGCCATCCAGGAAACCTCCCCAGCCTGGGTGGTATCTGTCCCACGGGGCAAATGGACCCCAGGGCTCAGAGCTTTGAGGTCCCTTCCCCAGGGGCTAGAGAAATGCCAAAGGACAAAATCCCCCTGGGTATCTCCAGAGAGACAGTCTGACTATGGCCTCCTCCTCATTGGTTCCCCCTGGATTACTTGTGTGTTCTTGCTCAGCATTGCTGCTCTATGTGAAGATGACTCCTCCCCTCTGTATGTCACATTGGCCCCTCCCCTCTGTGTGACCCTGACCCCCCCTTTCTGTGTGACACAGACCTTTCCCCTCTCTTTGTAAGCCTAAGCTCTCTGGGGCAAACAGAATTAAATGATCTGCCTGGGGTCCCAGAGCCATTAAAGTGTCAGAGGTTGGATTTGAACTCAGGTCTTTCTGATTCCAAATCCAATACTCTACCCACTTTACCACATTGCCTCTATATTAGCATACAATTTCTTTTTTTCTTTAATATTTTATTCTTTCTCCAGTTACATGTAAAAACAATTTTTAACATTTGGGTTTTTTGTTAAGTTTTGAGTTCCAAATTTTACCGTTCTTTCTCTCCTTCCTCTTCTCCCTCCCTGCGATGGTAAGCAATTTGATGTAGGTTATACATGTGCAATCATTACTAAATTAATATACAATTTTAAAACATTTTAATACATTTAAATTCAATTTTTAGTTACTTACTGTGACCAAGATGTTGTGTATGTTATTCCCTCCTTAAGCCAAATCCTATGAGAATTAGATTCACTCATTCCCTCTCACCTTCCCCCATTTCCCTTCCACTGTAAAAGCCTTTTCTTCTCTGTTTCATGTGAGATAATTCACCCCATTCTACCTCTCCCTTACTCCTTCTCTCCCTGCTGTCTTGTCCCCCCCCCCATTTTCCTGTAGGGTGAGATAGATTTCCATACCCAATTGAGTGTGTATGTTACTCCCTCCTTAAGCCAAATCTAATGAGAACAAGATTCACTCATTCCCTCACACCTTCCCCCATTTCCCCACCATTGTAAAGAGCCTTTTCTGTTTTTTGTGAGATAATTTATCCTGTTCTACCTCTCCCTTTCTCCTTCTCCCAGTATAATCCTCTCTCCTCACTTAATTTTATTTTCCAGATATCACCCCTTCATCTTCAATTCACCCTGTGCCCTCTATCTATCTATGTATACATAACATATACTTTTTTTTCCCCTCCCACTACCCTAATACTGACAAAGGCCTCATGAGTTATAAATATCATCTTTCCATGCAGGAATGTAAACAGTTCAACCTTAATAAGTCTCTTATGATTTCTCTTTCCTGTTTACCTCTTCATGTTCCACTTGAGTCTTGTATTTGAAAGTCAAATTTTCTATTCAGCTCTGGTCTTTTCATCATGAATGGTTGAAAGTCCCCTATTGCATTGAATACTTTTTCCCCTGAAGGATTATACTCAGTTTTGCTGGGTAGGTGATTCTTGGTTGTAATCCTATCTCCTTTGCCCTCTGGAATATTCTATTCCATAACCTGCTGTCCCTTAATGTAGAAGCTGTAAATCTTGTGTTATCCTGATTGTGTTTCCACAATACTTGAATTGTTTCTTTCTGGCTGCTTGCAATATTTTCTCCTTGACCTGGGAACTCTGGAATTTGGGTACAATATTCTTAGGAGTTTTCCTTTGGGGATCTCTTTCAGTAGCTGATTGGTGGATTCTTTCCATTTCTATTTTGCCCTCTGGTTCTAAAATATCAGGGCAGTTTTCCTTGATAATTTCGTGAAAGATGATGTCTAGGCTCTTTTTTTGATTGTGGCTTTCAGATAGTCCAATAATTTTTCAATAATCTCTCCTGGACCTATTTTCCAGGTCAGTTGTTTTTCCAATGAGATATTTCACATTGTTTTCTAATTTTTCATTCTTTTGGATTTGTTTTACAGTGTCTTGATTTCTCATAGTCACTAGCTTCCAATTGCTCCATTCTAATTTTTAAGGAAGTATTTTCTTCAGTAAGCTTTTGGACTTTCTTTTCCATTTGGCCAATTTTCTTTTTAGGGCATTCTTCTCCTCATTGGCTTTTTGGACCTCTTTTGCCATTTGGATTAGGTGTTATTTTTTTCAGTATTTTTTTGGGTCTCCTTTAGCAAGCTGTTGACTTGTTTTTCATGATTTTCTTGCATCACTCTCAGTTTTTCCTCTACTTCTCTTACTTGCTTCTCCAAATCCTTTTTGAGCTCAAGGCCTGGGACCAATTCATATTTTTCTTGGAGGCTTTGGATGTAGGAGCTTTGGCTTCATTGTCTTCTTCTGGTTGTAAGTTTTGATCTTCTTTGTCAGCAAAGTAAGATAATATAGTCTGACTCTTTTTGCACTGCTTGCTCATGATCCCAGCCAATTACTTAAGTTATAAACTTTTGTCAAGGTAGGAGTCTGTTTCCAGTGTGGAGAATATACTGTCCCAAGCTTCAGGGGTTTTGTGCAGCTGTTTTCAGAGATACTACTAGGGACCTGTAAATTTTCAGTTCTTCCAAGGTGCTATGATCAAGGATGTGGTGCTTACTGCTTTGCTGTCCTGTGCTCTGGTCTATGAGTGACCACAAGCACTCTTATCTGTCTTGGAACTGTGAGGAGGAGGAGGATTTTCTCTGTATCTCCACTACAAGCTCTACTATGCCAGCGCTCCTCCTCGCCCCAGGACCACCACCTAGAACTGTGACCCAGATCCAAGCATGGGCAAAGTAAGAGAATCCTGCACTGGCAGAGAGAGATCCCTGCAGTTCCCCTCTGATCAGCCACTTGGTTCCCCTCAGCCTGTGGGCTAGAAGCTCAAGAGGCAGCTGCTTCCTGGGGCCAAGCTCAGGGAATGGAGCTGAGATCCCCACCCCAGACACAGAGTTTTCTACTGACCTTCTAAGTTGTCCCTGGCTTGGGTTGAGAAGTCTAGAAACTGCCACAGCTGCCTGTGATTCAGTCCTCTGAGGCCTGCTCCAGGTTCCCTGTGGCCTGTGCACCCTCGCTGCACTGTGCTCTTCTTACAGCCTGGCATAATATACCTTTGTGATCACATCCAGGTTGTCTTGGGCTGTAAATTTGCTTCACTCTGTCTTTTTGTGGGTTCTGCTGCTTTAGAATTTGTTTAGAGCTGTTTTTTACAGGTATTTGGAGGGGTTTGGGGGAGAGCTCAAGCAGATCACTGCTTTCACTCTGCCATCTTGGCTCCGCCCCCAGGAATCTCTTACCCTAGGAGGGGAGATATCATCCTAAATATTTTTTTTCAGTATAATCCAGCATATTTATTTCTTGTTAACTTTTTTGTACAGTTTTGCATCTATTTGATTCAAAACACACAAATGAATTTGCAGGTTTATCATAGCTCTCATTCTATGGTAATAGTCAGTGTATGTCTGAACTTAAGAAATTCACAACTCTTATCTTACTAGGAAATTATTTCTTCAACCCTTAAGACTAAGCAGAACCTCCCAACACAGACAAAATATTCCTGTTAGGGTAACCATTTAAGAGTACAACTCAATCTGAACAGAGACCAACATATACATAGCTTGGGTGTGTTTACCTTGATATACACCCTACTTCACATCTGCTAAATTCAGGAAAACATCCTACCTATAAGATCACACATCCTCTAAAGATCTGCTTAAACTTTGGTGGCTGGAATATACAACACAGCTTAAGAAGCATCTTTCAGGTCTGAAAACCCAATTAAAACAGTCCCCACTCATTTAATTTTTATTCCAAATGACTAACATATATGACACTTGCTAAAAGGGATTCTGTCCATTTAAGGAGTGTATTAATACACAAGAAAAGAAAGAATCAGGGCACCATCACTCTGCATGTTACAGAAAAATCTCCTAGTCACGTCCTTCTAGTTTCTGTCTTTCTCACTCCCAGCAGTGTTTAAAATACAGTTACACCTGCAATTATGGTCCCACATCTTGCAGTGCTACCAATCTTTCAGAGGAGTCAGGACAAATAGAAGTGAGGGCATGTAAAAACCCCTTCAATGGGGAGAGGGGAGTGGGGAAGAAAGCTTCCTCTATGCAGAGAGCTTGGCACTGGCTTTATTTTCCTGATGGTTACTTCAAATATCCACCTCCTACACATCCTTCGAATCCCATCTCAGTTCCCATCCCTTCATCTAGAATGAATTCTCTCCTCATATCCCTTCTTAGAATCCCAAGTTTCTTCAAAGCTCAGTTCAAAATGGGGCCTTTCCTAATATCTTCAAGCTTAATAAGGTGCCTAGCACATAATTCGTGCTTAATAACGGCTTATTGGCTGACTTACTTTCTAGCTGCTGGTTCTCCCTCCAAGATTACTTTGTATTTATTCTGTATGTTTACATACATGTTTCTACGTTATCACTCCCAACAAAATGTAATGATCTTCTGGGCAGGGATTTTTCATTTTTCTCTTTGTATCCCCATTGCCCAGGACAGTGCCTGGCATACAGTGATTGCTTAATAAATATTGGTTGATTGATTGATGGGGATCTTCCCTTACATTCCTTTTATATCCCTCACATCCAACAAGTGATAGGTGAAGAGTAGGCATGGTTGGTTGATTAGTGATTAACTGAAAGTTTGACTGTATTTTCCCTGTCTCGGTGCACGTTACCTTTTCTCCATTTTCTGTCTGAAATGGGCTATAGCTCATGAATCTTGGACTTGATTTTTGAAGTCATAGAATCATAGGATTTGTTGTTGGTAAGGAACTAAGAGAAATCACTTATGTCCAATCCCTTCATCTTGGAGACAAAACTGAGGCCCAGGGAGGGAAAGTGATTTGCCAACAAATTTGCGAACAAAACAAGTGGTAATTTCAATTTGAACTCAGATCTTCTGAATCTTACTATTTTTAAAAATTTTTTTTGAGGCAATCAGGGTTAAGTGACTTGCCCAGGGTCAGCTAGTAAGTGTCTGAGGTCAGATTTGAATTCAGTTCCTCCTGATGTCAGGGCCAATGCACTATCCGCTGCACCACCTAGCTCTCCTTAATCCATTGTTCTTTCCATTTTCATCACTACATTGCTATGTATTCCTGGAACACAAGACAAAAAATAGTTTCTAGTCTGAAAACAGTAGTATTGATGTTGATTACTAAAACGATATCCAAAGAATATTCACAGCATATAATTTTCTTTATTATTCCTCAAAGAGTTCAAAAACAGTCTACCATTACTCC